TGCAGGACGAGGCTCGGGGTGCAGGCTCGGGTGTGGGGTGCAGGATCTGGGAAGGAGTTTGGGGGGGCTCAGGGCTGGGCTTGGGGTGCAGGAAGAGGCTCGGGGTGTGGGCACGAGTGTGGGGTGCGGGATCTGGCCGGGTGGCACTTACCTCGGGTGGCTCCAAGTCCCAGTCGGCGGCGAATCGGGGCTGAGACAGGCTCCCTGCCTGCCCTGGCTCTGTGCTGCTCCTGGAAGCATCCAGCACGTCCCTCCCTGCAACCCCTTGCGGGGGCAGGGGATCTCCGCGTGCTGCCCTTGCCTGCAGGTAGCGCCCCCGCGGCCAATGGGAGCTGCGGAGTCGACGCTCACGGCGGGGGCAGCACGTGGAGACCCCCTGCAAACCTCCCCGCCTAGGTGCCGCAGGAAGGGACAGGCTGGCTGCTTCTGGGAGCGGTGTGGGGCCAGGGCGGCCAGGGACCTGCCTCAGCCCCACTGAGCCACCGGTCTCTTAGTGGCTGATCTCCCGGTTTGGCTTTAGGAGCCTCCAGGAGATCGAGCCCGATTCTGGGAGACTCCCGGCCAAACCAGGAGGGTTGGCAACCCTAGTGGGGGTTAGTTGGATGAGGGAGGGGGAATTTGGGGGGTCAGTCAGTAGAGGGGAGGGGGAGTCAGTTATAGGAGGGGCTAATTTGAGAGTGGGGGAAAGAGGGGTTAAGTTAGGGGAGGGGTATCAATTGGGGAGGGGAAGGGGGACAGCTGGGCAGGAGTTGGGGAGGGGGTTGGTCAGGGGAGGAAATGGGGAGTTTGGAGGGGGCTGGTGGAGGGATTTTGGGAGGGGGTCAGTGAAGAATCAGTTTGTGACCCCCACGCCCCTCACGTCATGGGCCCTGACTGCAGTGCGCTGCTGTGTTTGTGCTGCACTGGGCCATGGAGCCGGCGCTGGGGCTCCCTGCTCACACTGGGGGGTCTGCGGGTTGGGCTGGAGCAGCCTGGGGGAGGGCAGGGCTGGTGCTACCATTAAGGCAAACTAGGTGGTTGCCTAGGGCGCCAAGATTTGGGGGCTCCAAAAAGCGGTGCCCCCAATTTTTTTTTACAGCGTTCCTGGGCGGCTCCACTTCTCCCGCCTCCCAGGCTTGCAGCGCCAATCAGCTGTTCAGCGCCACAAGCATGGGAGCGGAGGAGAATTAGAGCGGGGGCGGCGTGCTCGGGGAGGAGGTGGAGCAGACGTGAGCTGGGGTGGGGAGCTGCTGCATGGCTCCCTGGGGGAGGGGAGCTCCTGTGGGGGGGGCGCCTCAGGGCAGGTGGGGGGAAGCTGCCACAGGGCTGTGGGGTGGGGGCGCAAGGTGGAAGGTTCACCTAGGGTGCGAAACTTCCTTGCACCGGCCCTGGCGGAGGGACATGCCTTGTGGATCTCTGTCTATGTAAATCCTGAAAACATGGCACGGGGGCGCAGAGTCCTGGTCTGACTCATTAGCGAGGGAGCAGCATCCTCGGCCCAGCTCTCTGCTCCATAATGCTGCTGCGGAGCTGCCAGGGTTTGAGGGGAGCAGCCCTCCATGGGACAGCAGCTCCGTCCACCACAGATCCAGCTTCCTTTGCTGCAGGAAAACACCACAGGGTAAGGCTGAAGGAGGAGTGGGTGAGGGCAGATAACTGCATGGACCTGGAGGGTTACCCCATAGCTCTGGATAGCTCAGATACAATGTATGGACATTGAATTGTCTGAGGTTCCCTCATCACTAGATTCAGATGGAGTTTGGCAGTTGTGAGGATGGTTTATTATGGCATGCCATTAAATGGAGTGTGTGACTATGGTAGTGTTTCCCAAAGTGTATGGCACAACTCCCCAATGAAGGCATGGGGTTAAAAGACGAGTCCTGGGGGCACATACACATCTCAACTGTTCCCTAGTGTTCGCTTTCATTTTTTTAAAAAGTAAGTCTAGCTGTTATGGTTGCAGAGAAACCCATCAAAATGTGACTTGAAGGTAATTGATGATGCAGTGTTGTCTGTCTGAGTCTGCAGAGACCCTGAAGTAAGAGGTTGGAGAGGGGTGAAGCGCCCCTTTCATTTCAGTGGGGACTGACTCAAATGCCAGTGATGCTGTTTTAAAAGTCAGCACTGTGAACTATTTTGCTGCTCAAAGCATATAAGAAAGAGGAGGAAGTATATTATGAAGATCTAAAATATGGCTAGGCCTTTAACACTAGATGGCGGTAATAGTGAGTGGGGGGGAGAGGTAGTGTTTGATTTCAGTTTACTAAAGGGGGCCTCAGTTTTCAGAAGTTAAGGAAAGACTGGCTCATGGTGAATCTTGTATGGGATTTTGCAGTGATAAGGCTGATTTAATATAGGATGTTGTTATATGGAGTTTGACAATTATTAATGAATTTGCATGTTTTTTTTTAAATATTCTTTTGTAGGCATAAGGGTTTGATTTTCAAACTGAGCCTCCAGTTTCACTGCTGAAATTTTGCATCCACAATAAATTGTGGCCCACAATTTTTTCCCACAAAATTGTTGGTACAATTAACTGAGGAAGCAAATTTTCACCTGCTAAACTGGACGGTCAGTTGGAAAATCAGGTTAATAGTTACAGCTTATAAGAATCAGAAATACTTTTGTCCCTCTGGTGGGAAACAGGCTGGCTTACCAGCCCCACACTGCATAGTGCATGTGCACAGTTCCCCTGCCTGTTGGAATCTTCTCATTTATAACCTGTTCTTGTCTATGGTCTCTGAGTGCCTTCTGCATTTGTGAAGCTGGGGGTGGGGTAAACAAAATTTTCCTCACAGTAAATTGCAGTGATCAAGTGTGTGGTTCATGCAAAATTAATCAGTTGGACCAAACACCTATGATGCTGTTGGGAGAGTGATGAAGAAAAAGGTTGCCACTGTATTATAAGGAACATGGAATTAGGCAAGAATGCTGAAATCCATGATAAATAATGGTGAAGAGTCAACATCCTGTTGGTGTGGGAAAGGGTAATGCATTATACTAAGGGGTCTATCCATTTCTCTCATTTGAAATTATCCCCTATCCCCATGAACTGTTCCTCTTAGGATAATTTTGCTGTAAAAAGTCACATATGAACATTATAATGAATCAACATCCAGTGACTATGAAGCAAAGAATTGTATTAATTTTATTTTGTTCTTTTGTATAAGTTGTTTTGTCCTTATGCGATGATGAATTTTCAACAGCATTAAAGCAGTATGCAAGGCTAGTTCGCTAGTAGACATTAGTAACTGCGTCTAAAAGTATGCGTAGCACTCTGACCCCTGGATTAATCAACTGAAATATATTACAAGAAGAAAATAAAACCCTTCATGTTTGAAGTAACCATCTTTAAGCTTTTCTTCCCTGCCCCAACACGCGTTTTATCAAATTAATAATAATAATCACAACAATAACTTGCCATTCTTTAATGTTTTCCATTAGAGAAATGAACATTATTGAATTAAGCATCATAACCCACAGACAGGTGGGTCAGATTCATTATCCCTTATTTTACAAAGGACAAACTGAGGCATAGGGAGGGATCGGGGAAGTGAAATTACCTAAAGTAACAGAGCAGGTCAGTGGCAGAGCTAGGCCAGAACCCAGGAATCACTATTCTCAGTACCTCTGGCCCACTAGCCCACATTCCCATCTCAGAACTAGGAAGAGAACCCACGTGTCCTAGTCTTTAGCCATCAAGACCATCCAGCCCCCGACAGATAGAGAAGAGAGAGTGAGGTGCTGCTCTGTGCCAGGAGCCCCTTCTTGTTAGACTTCTTTTAGAATCCTAGTTCTTTTCATTGGATTATTTTCAGCACTGGAACCCTGAGCTGCTCTACAAGTTACCGTCTAGATGGTTTATTCCACCCGTTACTTTTAGGAGCCTAGTCATCAGGAAACATGGTAATGGGGGAAGTGAGTAGATGGCATAAGCAAAATGGAGCAAAGATGAGGAGACAGACCACAGGTGGGGGTGAACAGAGTACATGGAATGGAGGACAGAGATAGCACTACAAGTGAGCCATCAATGGAATGGGATTTGGTAATTTCTGATCATGGTACACTGTCCCAATTATAACAGGGGCCAGAAATGAATATAACCCTTTATCTGGAATGACACTGTCCAGCTTTTCTAATAAAACAGAGTTTGTTGGGCAAAATACGATTTCATGGTATGGTGTATCCTACCCTTTGAGTTTAGCTGCCTGGGTCAGGGTATGGATACTTGAATTAGTAGGAGAGTTGATCTGTTTTGGGAGTGAATTAATTGGTTATTGGATGTCACCTTGGCTCTGGTGAAATGTATCTGTGGTTTGAGCATTCAAAAGCCTAAGACTTGATTCTCTTACAATTAAAAAAAAAAGATTTTCATTCTGAAGTTATGAACGGTGCCTGATAGCTTCATAGATGAAATTACATATTTGTTTGAAGTTGGATTTTTTTCATGTCTGTTTTTAAATCAGAAGAATGTTCATTTTCCTGTCTGATCACATGTATATCCCATTTAAGTGGATTGTCTGCATGTTTATTTCATAGTAAATGCTTCCTTTAGGCTCTCCAGAGCCTGTTCTTTGGTTATTTTTTGCCAGTCTGCTGGGAGATTGGCTGGTTTAGCACCATACTCCTTAGCAAACTGTTGATTGAACTCCTTAAAAACAAATTTCCAGTAATCAGAAGCAGTAATGCTAGGATCTGGCTGAATGCGCCAATGCGGGTAATATTGACGATAATCTTTATAAGGATGATCCTTCCAATCTGTGTCTGAATTTCTAAATTCAGTGTTGGAAACCACATCAGAAGAACATAGAGAATAGGTAAGCTTTTCTGTTACCAGATTTTGGTATCTTCCTAGCCCTTGAGGACGATGTACTGATGCAAAATGCTCCTTATGATCCCCTCCTCCTGCTTCGCAGGGGACTTTACAGAACGGACACTGCTTCCCACAGCCAAACACTCGCTTGAAGATTTCATCCTGGGGCTTCAGTGGCAGATGGAAGAGCTTTGATTTAATTTCCAAATCTTTCAATTCAGCTAGTATTTGTTTCTGAAGATCAGGAAGGAAGGTTTGAATAAAAGTAGAAAATTGATCTGGATCTGCTGTGTTTTTAAACTGTATCCCCACCAAGCTATCCTTGGAAATGACTAGGTCCTTCTGCAGCACTTTACAAAAGTTGTTTAGAAAAGCTGAGACTGTCGTAACACTTTCATCTTTGGCTTTCTCCAGGGCATCCCTGACTTTCTTTATTATCGTGGATAGAATTTCTTCCTCCAGATCTTCCAAATCCTCAGCCTCTCTGTAGTAATCTAACATGTGCCTCCATATCCAAGCTTTGACAAACTTTTCATAGTTGAGAATGTATTTCACATAGTTGTTGAAGTTCCCATCTTCTAACAGCTTCTTCTGCACAGTGAACTGGAAAAAGCTCCGGCTGGCATATTCAATAGACTGTCCGCTGCTGAGAATGTCATCCACTATTTCCAGTCCGAGTCTTTTGCTAACATAATCCATTAAGGCAGGTTTGAGACACTGATCACAGAACTCCTTGGCTCTATTTTGTCGGGCATCTTTTTCCAAGTAATGGTCTCGAAATGTAGAGAAATACTGAGGTTTCAGCTTCTCCAGTCGTTGCTGAGGATCATTTTCCTTGAGAAAATCTTCATGCATCTTCTGAAATGCATGAGCGGCTTCCCCCAAAATGTGAAGTTTCAGATCAACTTCAAAGCAAACAGAAGTCTGCAGTTTTTTCACTTCCTCCTGTTGAAGTTTCTCATTGATCAAATGCAACAATTCTCTGCAATAGGTTTCATCATAGTCTGCCTTGGAATAGACTCTCTCTTCAATGTAACTATTACATTGGGCCATCAAGGATTCAGCAAGTTTTTCTATTTTCTGTGACCGTTTTTTTGTAAACCAATGTTTCACAGCTGAGGTAAATGAAAAGTCTAAATATTCAGTTCTCATTGTGAAAGACTTAATTCTATAATTCATCAAGCTTCCTGCTTCTTGTATCTTCTGATTGACAGAACTCCCTCTGTTATCCAGGTCTTTTCTCAGATGGAACTCTATATCTTCATGAATTTCATGTTTCTGTAAACAAATGGGCGATAATTCTGAAAATGTTTCTTTCCACATTTTTTCAAATTCCATTTCCAATTCTTTATTTTCCAACTTACTTTCTTTTCTCCTGCATTGGTCTAAAAGCGTGTCCACTTTCCCTTCAATTACTTTCATGTACTCAGCCTGGATATTGGCTATCTTGTGCTGGCCTTTTTTAATGTGAATGGCTTCCTTACATTTCTTAAATGAATAACTTTCCAGCTCAGTTTTCAGGCTCTTTGCACTTCTGATAAAATCTTCCCTGTACTTTTCTATCAGATGCAGATTTGCTGCCCCGCTTTCAAAATATTGTTTTAAAAGCTCCAGAATTCTCTGTTCTCCACACAGTAGTTTCTGTTGCATTTCATATTGTGACTTATCAGCTTCTAGTTCATCAGGAGAAAGATTCTGAATGGCAGTTTCTTTTTCAGTTATCCAGAGGTGCATTTCCTTGCGGAAATCCCATTCCCACTCAGAATATTTCACAGACAGCTGGTTATAGGCTTCAGCTATGAGGCTGTTTCTAAAGCTGAAGATGAAGTTCTCATGTTTGACAGCATTCCACAGACTCTTGACCCATTCAATAAACTGTGGAATGTCCTTGGGGGTTCTTTTAAGTGAACGGTTCTTTATGAATTCAAACAGATACCTCTTTAACTCATACACTTTTTCACTGTATCCCATATTCACCGGAGCCATGGGAGGGACTCCATGCCACAGCCCAGGGATGTACCAATTGTGTTTTTCCAGATCATACTCCATGATATCAGAAAATTTTATTTCCTTGTTTAATTTTTCCATCTTTGCTGCAGCTTTGATCATTTCATTCAGCTGCTCCAGGAGGTGTTTCCTGTCCCTCATGTTTTGTTCATGTGCAGACACATCACTGACGTTCTGATGCACAAACTGGCAGTTTGGCTTATGCCCTATTTTTTCCATTCTCAGAAAGGCATGGACCACAATTTGCAGAATATCCTTCATTTCGGTGGCATTCTCCATGGCCATGTTAACAATGGTTATGTCACTCAGTCCTATCACCAGTGTGGCCAGCTCATTGTCATGTTGATAACTGTCCTCCAGCTTGGCCAATTCAGGGGCTTTCAAGCCTTCTGTGTCTATCACCAAGATGAAATCACAGCCCAGTTCCTTTTTTAAGATCTCTGTAACTTGAATGAGCAACATGAAGGCTCCTCGTGTACATCGGCCACTGCTCACTGAAAACTGCAGGCCGAACATGGTGTTGAGGAGGGTGGATTTCCCAGTGCTCTGCACTCCCAGCACTGTTAGAACCAGCATTTTGGACCTTCCCCTGAGCTTGGCATGGAGCTGGGTCAGAACATCTGTTACCCACTGCAGTGGGATGTTGGATGCATCTCCATCAATCAGCTCAATAGGAAACCCTTCCAGCATCAGGTCAGCTGCTATGCCTGGGAGATGGCTGAATTGTCTTCTACTTTTTAGAATTTTGCCTTCTTTAACCATTGAGTGTTCAGCCTCATAAAACTGCCCCAACTCACGCATGAAATGCTCAACCCCTAAAGACGTGGAAGATATTAATTTATCTAGTTCTGCCAGCCGTTTGGGGTCATCTCCTAAAGACTTGCATTTCTCTTTGTATTCAGCCCGTAGTTTAGAAAGATTCCCCCTAGCAATGTGATCCAGCTGAAATTTCATCCATTTCAGGAAATAATGTTTTTCTAATGGAAGTAGATGTTGTATTGCATCAATGAATTGAGTCAAACCATCAGTAAGGTCACATTTATTCTGTTGGTTACGTAATTCCAACATTTTATCTTTCAGCTGAGATTTATATTTCTCAGCAGGGATATCCCCCTGCCTTCTCATTCGGCACATTTCTTTTTCCACTTTAGCCAGGCTTTTCCATAAGTCCCCTTGGAGCCTCAGCATTTCTTGTTTGTAATATGCCACATCCTTTATTTCTGTGGTGATTTCTTTAACGCAGTTGCTCGCAGTCTGACATTCCACACGGTCTTCATCTATTTGGATTCCTAGTTCACGCGCTATCACAGCCATATCTTCTATACCTGTCCTCTTGGGAGAAGAGTTCATTATGCTTTGTATGGTGGACTGCAGCTTTTCCACAAATTTTGCTTTATTTGTGCTGCTATCTTTCATCAGCATATGTGAATTTTTCAGTTTCAGCACAGGGGCTAATTTGTTAAGGAATGCCAGAGTTGCACTGGATTTCCCAGCCTGGCGGTTGAGAATGAAGTAGTATTTAGTTGTGGATTCTTTCAAAGATGATAATAGAGTGTACTCCCTTTCAGTGATGTTTTCAGCAAATATGAACACAGCTGAGGAGACCTCTGTTAAAAAGCTAAACTGCAGCCAGTGCGATTCAATGTCTCCACGTAGATTTGTAACTGCCACAGGTTCTGAGAAAAGATCCAAATTCTTCCTCCCACCAGGGAAAAACCAGGAAATTTCTATCAACCCATCTGCGATTTCACGAGGGACGTTCCCAGATGACAAATCCTGATGGATAAAGAAATCATGGTGCTGCTGGGAGGGGCTGAGAACCTCATTGAGGAGTTTGGACTTGGAGAAGCTGCAGCTCCCCATCCGCACAAAGGAAATGGTTGGCATTGCTGTGAGCACCAGGCTCTCCTCTCTGAACCCTCTGCTCTCTGCCAGGGAGTGCGGCCTCCACTTCCTCACAATGTCCCTCATGGCCCACAGCATTAGGGTGCACTTGGGGGTGTCGAGAGAAGGTAACAGCAGAGGGAGGGCAAACTGGCACATGGACATTTTGGACAGGATCTCCTGCTGTAGGAAACTGTCCGAACAAAGCAGAACGGCACAGAGAAGATCAAGTGGATTCACAGAGACTTTAGTGTCAGAGTCACTAAAAAAGAAAATTTGTTCATCGATACCTTGTTCCTCCTCATCCACCCTGGTTCCTTGATCATGAGGTGCCCCACACCTAAAGCTTGTGCTTCTGGCTGTCACATTCAAAGCCATGACCTTCCTCAGGAAATGCCATGGTAAATCTCTTAATTTTCGAGGAGTCCAGTCCTTTAAACTTCCTGAGTTGATTTCCAGGACATCATTCATCCTGAGCTTTCTGCTTTCATACTTCTGTAATTTTAACTTGGAAAGAACTTCTCTGAATGCTTTTCTTCTCTCTGTAGAAAAGTGTTAAAATATGAACATAAATTTCAGAGCCGAAAATAGAGGGCTGAATTATCTTATTTGCAAAGGCCACTTGTGCTACCTAGGTGGTGGGAAATGGCCTGAGAGAACCTGTGTAGAATTCCTCCTGAGTAGGAGAACTCTCAACTTGTGGCAAGTTGGCAGAAGTGGCTCCCAGCCCCCCAAATCCCTAGCACAGGGAGACGTAAGTGGTGTTGTGGAGTGGAGGAGTACTATATCTGATCCTCCCCTGGCATGATGTTTGTTACAGACCTTGCATTAGTGGCATGAACTAGTGTAGGCCCCAGGCTGCTCTAATTTCCACAGGTTCTGGGATGTTGAGGATCAGGGAGATGTAACCGGCTCCCTGCACTGACCACTCCTCACTACCTCTGAGTTGCAGTGGAATGCAGTGGAGAAGCAGGGTCATTGTGATTTTTGTGATATTGTTTGGCAATTGTTGATTGTGACACTAGGGTAGTGATGCAAAGCTGTAATTAGAGAATGGCAATACATAGAAGTGACAGATACATCAAGGAGCTACACTTCTCATGCGCTTCAATAATTATTTAGATTGCTCTGTATTCTTAAAAAGAAGAACAGGAGGACTTGTGGCACCTTAGAGACTAACAAATTTATTAGAGCATAAGCTTTCGTGGACTACAGCCCACTTCTTCGGATGCATAACCTTTAGTCCTTTTGGTATGATGTCCATCTGCTTGCATTT